GACATATAACATTTGGGGTCTGTGCTTTTAGCTTTCTTGTCCCAACAATTACTCTAACTCCCTTATAATATTTTGGCAGTGTCTGATCTCTGTTGCTATGCTAGAGCACTCCCATAACTGCTGGGCTTCTCTTTTTCTCTCTCCCCATTCTGTTCCAGGTCGAAGTGGGTTCCCATGGGAGATTTCATTGCCTCCAACACAGATGAGTGCACAGCCACTCTCATGTATGCTGTTAATCTCAAGCAATCTGGCTCTGTCTCCTTTGAGTACATCTATCCAGACAGCAGCATTGTCTTCGAGTTCTTTGTATGTTTCCCAAGAATCTGCCCGTATCTCTATTTTTATATACTATGTCAAGGAGGGTTCTCTTCTATGGTGCCTTTAAAAAATTGGCTATCCCTGCATTCATCATCTGGGGCTATATGTAAGAGGGTGCAGTATCTTCTTAGAGTCAAGGAAAAGGTGGTTAGTATTTAAACCAGAAACGAAGTAGATTGAAGTTGATATTGTACTTTGTAGCAAATCTTTTACCCACCTGCTTAACCCTTTTCTTGCACTACATTTGGAGGCAGATAAAATTTGGCAGTAATCATTTTTACAGCCCTTAGAGGCACAGTTATCTCCCCTCCTTGGCATTTGAGATAATGCATACTCACTTCTAGTCCCCCCCCCCAAAAAAGAAAACAGTAATACTTTGGTGCTATCTTTTTTCCTATACTTTAGCAGCCAAAAAGACCTTTCCAATTAATATTTTCATACCCTCCACAGCTCCATGGTGCATTTCATTTAACTGCGCAATTCTAAAGTATCTTGAGGTGCATCTTGTGATTATTTCTTTAACTATTAATATGTCCTCTATTTCTTTATGTTGCTTTAAGACTATCACAATTCCACAAGTTCCCTGCAGCATTAAGAGGAAGGCCAAATAATTCAACTTAAACATGTTATTAATGTATTCTAGCTTAGCTGGATACACCATGCTGTTGGGGAATTGATTAAAGTACTTTCTCCAATATATATAGGACCTTAGAATAATTTTTCACAGTTTATCACAACTAAGTCATTGGAAGGCAGGTACAGAATGCTTTAAAGGAAAAAAAAATTAAAAGGCCATAAATAAATTTCTGACCAAACTATTTCTGGTCAAGCATTCTCTCTACAGTATTAAACCTGCACACTAAAAACACTTTGTTTTAATGGGCGATCTTACACCAGTGCCTACAGCAGAGAATCCAGTCAACTCATTTCCCCATGCACAGAGACTGTATCCTCACCCTACATTCTTCTTATTTGTTCAGGTTCAGAATGACCAGTGCCAGCCAACAGTGGAGGAGTCACGATGGATGAAGACCACAGAAAAAGGGTGGGAGATACACACTGTAAGTGTAGGAGTTCATTCAGATGGCTGCAGCACTTGTAGATTTACAATCAATGGTGGCCTGGGGAAGCAAAGCTGTCTGCCATTCTGGGAGCCAGAACTAAGCTCTTAAGCAGTTTACTATATACTATGCTTAATATTTGTAGGTGGAGCTGAGCCGTGGCAACAATGTCCTCTACTGGAGAACAACAGCTTTCTCTGTGTGGTCCAAAGCTCCCAAGCCTGTGTTGGTGAGGAACATTGGGATTACAGGTTTGTGTTTGACTAGTTCATGTTTTGGGTCTATTACCATAAAGAGTATCAGCTGCTCTTGTGCAGGTGGTAGCCAAATGACTTGCCTGTTGTTTAGTGTGATCCAGCCTCTCTCTTTCTTTTGTCCTCTAGGAGTGGCCTACACTTCAGAATGCTTTCCTTGTAAGGCAGGCACCTACACTGCCAAGTCAGGTTCTTCCTTCTGCCAACAGTGCCCAGCAAATTCCTACTCTGGCAAGGGAGCGACATCCTGCCACCAGTGTGAGCCCACTATGTACTCAGGTAACCCCCCTGGGGTCTAAGTTAACTGTCTGAAAACTTTCAAAGCAGGCTGGTTATGCTAGGCAGTGTTTTCCATATTCCAAGTGGGTTATACAGCTGTCAAGTTTATCTGAATCTGCAGGTTTACTACTCTTTAACTTAAAATCTCATTGCATCTGCTCTAGCAAATGAAATAAAAAATTTCATTGCATCTGCTCTAGCAAATGAAATAATATGTTTTGTTCCTTTTAAATCATTCAAAAATATTGTAATTTATGTTGCTACTCACTTCCATGCCCAGAGACTCTGTTAATTTATTTAAAAACTTGCTTCAATGATTTTCTGCACTGTATTTTGTCCTACCACCAAATACAGAGTGTCAAGAAGAAAAGAAGCACTCAGTGTGCTTCTGCAGGTGTTGCACCTGCAAAAAAAGCCCAGGCATGGATGGCATGGGCACCTAGATACAAATTTGTGTCTGTGCCCCTTTGCTAATCTCCAGAGGCCTTTAACACATGCATGTTCTCCAAACTGAAAGTAATCCCAGCTGTGCTGCTTCTCTCCCACCCCATATCCTTTTTTGTCTAGGCTCTGTGCCTTTAGTTTTAGTCCCTTGTCATGCCTTGCTGCCTTCACTATGATACATTATAGAAGGAGGGACAGTGATAAGATAGGCACAAATGCCACTTCTCCATGCTCTCTGTGTCTTGGCTAAATCCCATTTTTCATCTACTCCTTGCCAGCAGCTGGTTCTCATGAGTGGCACTGCCTTAAGTGAACAAATGACACTGATAGACCGAGTTACATCTAGCATGTTCCTGTCTCCTCTGACTGATGCTGACTCTCCACACTCTCAGGCACAAATCTTTCCTAGCCTTGGTGCTGGCAATCCATACCCTAAAGAAGACAACCTGGGGCTCTTCTGAGAGCCAGCATTGTATAGTGGTTAAGGCACTGGATTATAACAGGGGATGTTGTAGGTGTATTCTCCAATGTCTCTGAGAGGCGTTCCATCCTTTTCCTTTAGATATCCAGGTTCAAGTGGTATGGATGACGCTTTGCAGATTTTCCATACCAATAGGTTCTATAAAGTCCATAATTTTTCGTTTCTGGCATAGAAGAAAGGTTCAGTCCTTGAGTTTTTCAACTTGTATTCTGAGGTCATTTTTTACGTCTCCAAGCTGTTTGACTTCTACTTCCTTGTTCAGTCCATCAGCTATTTTTTTAACATCCTCTCTGTTTTGACAAGATACAATCAAGTCTTGGGACAGTACCAATCAAACTCCTCACTGCAACTGGAGAAGTGATGGATGTTAAATTAAAGAATGTGGCTCTGAATCCTGAAGCAGCTGATAATTTGATTTCAACCAAAAGACTTATGGAAAGTAATCACAATGTGTTCCTTAAGAGAAGGAAAGGAAGTAAGATTGTTGCTGAAATGTCTGAAGTTGAATTTGAAGTGGAGGAGAGAAATGGATTTCATTATCCTGTGGATGTTAGTAGAGACTCAGAAGGTGTTGATGCTGATAAAGAGGCAAGTTTATCAGGCTAGCAATGGTTCTTGTAATCATCAGGTCCTTAGTGGAAGGGCAGAATTAAAATGTAACAATTAAAATTAAAATGTAATAGACAGAGGTAAGCAAGTCCTGTGGAGTTGAGGCCAACAGTCACATCTTTTATAGGTGTGTCCAAATGCCTATCAGCTTCTGTAATAGTTACAGAAGGAGCTGTGAAGTAAACTCAAAGCATGTTGGACTGCATGTGTTGCCATCACTGTGAAATGATACTAGAGGGGCTTGCCCCCCAGTCTCTGGAAAGATAGCTGAAACTAAATTATGCCAGTACAGGATCCTGTTACTTCAGAGTCTGGATGAATTCATTTAGGCACATTATGTGCTCCAGTACAGGTAGAGCAGATTCAGGCTGAGGCGTACTGGAAGCTGTGGGCAGAAGAGCACATGACATTGGGGAGCAGTGAGTGAGGCCATGGCTGAGTGACACCTACTTTGCATGCAGGTGGTCCCAGGCTCAGTCCCTGGTATCTCCATTTAAAAGGATCAGCTAAGCAAGTGATGTGAAAGATGTGGACCAGTGACTCTGGAGAGCTGCTGCCAGTCAGAGTAGACAATACTGACATTGATAGACCAAGGGTCTGACTCAGTATAAGACAGCTTCATGTATTCGTGATCAATCCCCCAACATATGAGGAAGCTGCAAAAATCAGCCACAGCCCCCCCAATATGAGCTTATCTTTTTTACTGACCCTTTCCCTAGTGCTGCAGACCTGATCCATGCTGCTCCCAGCTGTTTTGTTTGTTTGCAACTAAATGGTATGTATAGGGTTGACGGTAGCTCTGGTGGAAAATGTCCCTTTAATAAAGGCTTAATGTGTGGAAATGGGCAGCCAACACTTTTTGTGCCATCAAGGGAAGTAACATCCCTTGGTAAATAACATCTTATTAAACCACTATTCAAGGGGCAAGACTATTTCTCTCCAGGAAGTTGGCAACCCAGCAAGGATTCGCTTTCCCATCCAAAATAATTCCCTCTGTGTACAAAAGTAGATATCAGAAACAGGCCTTCTCCCTGACATATTCCCCCCCTCCCCATGGATGAGGAAATTTGAAGGAGCATCCAGTTATGAGAGCTCCAACCTACAATTTGATGTGGTGCTATAGAAACACAGTGACAGTATTAGGAGGTTTGTCGCATATATATCTGATCAGAAAATCTGTGGACTTTCGGAGGACAGGAATTAGAGCATCATATATTGTTATCTGTGTGATGGAGTGTGTTTGTTATCTAATAATAATAATCATACTTGGGTAAAGGTTTTATCAGCATTTATCAATTATTATTGTCAAAGCTGAAGCATTTTCCAGGAAAGTATGACGGGGGAGAATGAACAGGCTATCGTGGATATCCTTCTTCCTAATTTGAGGAGGAAGGAACACAATTTTAAAGGGAAGTAGTGCTCTCTCTAGGGAGGGGGAGCATCCTATCCTCAATACAAGATTCTTGAAGTGCCTTACCAACATTTATTTTCTTGCCCCGCTTGCAAAGGTCTGTGAAGTGCCTCCTCTCATGTGAATGTTTTATTTATTTATTTATTTATTTATTTATTCATTCATTCATTCATTCATTCATTCATTCTATTTATACCCCGACCTCCCCGCGAGCAGGCTCGGGACGGCTTACATTAATCAGTACCCAGTACTTTAAAACCATATACAAAAGATTAAAACATTCCAAACATTTAAAGCAGTCCAATAAGCAAAGTGCTAGTGCTGGTGATCGGCCTTGAGTAGTTAAAATGGCATATTGTATAGTATACAACATGTTAATTATTAAATTTATTTATTTATTTATTCTATTTATACCCCGCCCACCCTGTGAGCATGTTAATTATATAAATGGTTTGTTCTCTGTTCCTATCAAAATTAATCACCTTATGCAGATATAGGGGAGATTACTTTTAAAACTCCACTGCAATAAGCAGCAGAGCAAATTTTGGAACTAGGGCCAAAATCCACAAGTGAACGAACACACAAATTATGCCCCCTCCATGAAATAAAATCAGTTGGTAGACATGATTGATGCTTAATGCACTGAGATAAAGTGTGGACAGGAGACAGCCATCTTTTTGAGGTTGGTTCTGAGCTTTTTCTGGCATGGATGTTTTGCATTCATATAGTTTTAACCACAGATTTTTCCCCTTTCGCGATCAAGAACCAGGTTCTGCAGCATGCAAACCTCGCCCAGCCTGCACAGATAAGGATTATTTTTATACTCACACAGCCTGTGATACAAACGGAGAGGTATGTAACTTCTGGGTTTCCTTGTAGTAGTGGCATATGAATCATGGGTCTTGTGTTAAACTTTGATTTATTTACCATTTATTACTGAGCACCTTCAAAAGTTAATTAGTGGCTTTTGTATGTGAAGAGCACCCCCAGGTGGCCATAACTTCTGAATGAAAGTACTTTGTAAATCAGGAGAGAGAACCCTTATGCTGTGTATATACCACCTGATTTCCTTCTAGAAGGGGGAAGCTATTCTGTTCTGTTTCTCCTTCTTTTGGAATATTTGTATAATGTTTTTTGCACATACACAGAGAACCATCCATGAATTACTGACTTATTTATGTATTCAGAAATTACACCCCGTCCTGACTGCATTCTTACTGGTTTACAGAAAGATGTTAAAACGAGTTACAACAGTCAAAATATCAAACAATGGGGGGGGGGGGAATACATTTTCCCTTCATCATCAAAACCCGTGCAAAACTAGAGTTTTGCATGCTCTATGAAAGACACGTAAAGAAAGTGGGGGCCTCAACCAAGTGTTCCAAGTGTTGCAATTCAGACTTTATAGGTAATATAGTATGAATTGAACCTTGGTGGTCTCCCATGCAATTATTAACCAGGGCCAACTCTGCTTAGTTTTCAATATCTGATGAGATTGGGCTAGCCTGGGATAGAAGGCATTATCTGTAGGGCATATTGAGAGGATCTGAGCTGTTTTTATCTGTGAGCTCACATGGGTATGTTGCTACCAGGTTGTGAAGGACTTTATAGGTAATACTAGAAATAATGCCCATTGCGGAAATAAATACAACGGGATCTAGAAAGAGGCTCTGGGAGAGTGCTCTGGCTTTGGGCAAACAGTGTCAGTTTCCTGTGGCGACCTCAGCAGGGTTTAATGACAGAGTCCACTGTTTTCTCCAGAGAGACTGATCTCTGCTACCTGAAGAGCATTTGTATGTTTGAGTTATCTGTAGCCCTCACCTGGAGAGTGGTAACCATTGTTACCCATTCTCCTCTCCCCTATGAGGTATGTTATGCAACTGAAAATCCCAACTGCCTTGCGGGGGGGGGGAGTTTGAGGTGTGGAATGGACTGAAGTCCAATCAGCTTCCATATGCAAAAGACCAGGTTGTCGCAGCAGTTGTGGTGTGGGCGGGACCCGGGCTTTGCCTTCTGATTGGTGGCGATATATGCTGAGGAGCAGTGCCATCAGCCATACACTAAGGGAGTGCATTTTAGAATTAGAACCTTGGCACCCACTATTCAATTATATATAAGGACAGATTCTCACCAGCTCCAGCTCCCAAGAAGGCCAGATCACGTGTTGGACCAACTCTGCTTAGTTTTCAATATCTGATGAGATTGGGCTAGCCTGGGCTATCCAGGTAAGGGCTGGAGTGAGCTTGCTTAAAGAAAAAATGCTATGTCAAGTAAAAGATGAGCGTAGTGTACTCATACAGTGAAGCTTCTAGCCTTCTACTTGAATGAACTGCCTGGAGTTGTGCTTCCAATATCTGCTTCCGAGGCATTTCATTTTTCTTGCAATGAGCATCCAAACATGCTGGGTAGGGTTGCCAGGTCCTTCCTGGCAGCCAGCAGGGGGCTCTTGGGTCCTTTCCAGGACCTTCTGCCATGTGTGCTTTGCGTGTGTGGCATAATGACGTCACCCAGAAGTGACATGATTGTGTCGCCAATGTTGCAAGGCAGTGCTCTAGTTTTTGGGCAAAACTCCATGGTTTTTTTTCCCTTCAAAACCATAGAGTTTGCCCAAAAACTAGAGCGTCTCTGCCGGCATTGTTTGGGGGTGGACTTTCCCCCACTGGCCAGCTGGCTGGCAGCAGATCGAAGCCCTCAAAAGTGGGGGAATCCACCACTGGGACCTGGGAGCCCTAATTCTGGGAGGACTTTGAAGGACAAGCAAGTAGTATAGAAATGTTTGTTATGTTGTGTCTCTACTGCACAAAGAAACAGCTTTCTGTGGCCTTTACTCACATGGTGAAGCCCAGTGTTGCTCCTTTGCAGCTGCACAGATTACCATGGAAGCATGCTAGGCTGAACTATGTGAGGAGAGGCTCTGCAAACTGTTGCCTTCTTTTGCAGTAAATCCAAATTTTGCAGAGTAATTCAAATTAACCTTTAATTCTCCTTTCACAAATGACTACAATGTTGGATATTTGAAACTGGGAAATCTGAGTTCAGAGTTCAGATCATTGTTTCTGTCATGAGCCCACTCAGTGGCTTTGGGCAAGTTGCTGTCTTTCCCATCCAGTTGTGCCATAAAAAGCAGCTAGCACATGTTTATCTCCTGGTGGGGTGAACATGGTTTCTCCCATTTGCATTTGGTTAAAGACTGGTGTCAGTCAGTGACTGGGATCGGAATGCTGATAGTACTCAGTACTGGCTCTCCTTCCAAGCTTCAGATGGGCAGTTGGCCTTTAAAAAAAATTGAAATGTCACATAATTTACTATGAATTTGTATTTGATTTATTTTGATTCAATCAGCTTTTAAAACACTGTAAACTTGTTCTGGGGAGAGGGAAGGAGGAGGGATTGTGGTATCAGAGCCACTAGCCAACCCTCACTTTGCTTGCAAAACCCGTAGAACTGATTTTGTTTGACCTGTATCCTCAGTCTTTCAACACAATAGTGAGTATGCCTCCTGAGTCTAACAACTGCTGTTTTATGCATGTGTGTCTGTACATACCACTGGTGATCCATTTGGGTACTTTTGTGGAGGAATGTGAACTGAATTACAAAGCTTTTTTGCATGTTAAAAGTGCCACAAAGTGTTTAGTGTTAATAACAATAATAATTTGCATCTTCCCAGACCCAGCTAATGTATAAATGGGCTGAGCCAAAGATCTGCAAAGAGGATCTCCCCAGCGCTGTTTCATTGCCCCCTTCAGGTGTGAAAATGATGTGCCCACCATGCAACCCTGGGTTTTTCAAGACAAATGCCAGCACCTGTGAGCCCTGTGCATATGGATCATACTCTAATGGGTCTGGTAAATACCATTCTTTCATTCTGGATTAAGTGAAGCCTTCGCATGGGTGATGTTCTTTAAAATGTTAAAATTTGGCTAGGTGTTGTGTGATGAATGCCAGAGACGCACAGTGCTTTTTCTTACCTGTCTAGGAAGCCATTGATTAGGGCTTGACACCCTCATGCTCATTATGCTTCCTAAATTCTCGAAACTGTTTCCTTCCCACTGAAGCCAGTATGCTTCCTAAATTCTAAGATGACATAAAGAGAAATCACTTATTCCCTCTCATCATCCCCTATTTCTGTCAATGGCAGTTGTGTGATGGGATTGGACTCGGTACCAGTGAGGTGATAGTATGAACGGTTCAATCCTTCCTGCTTCCCTTCTTAGCAAACATGAATGATGGATGGAGCTCTCCTCCTATGAGACCTCATTGCAGTAGGGCTTAGAGATGTAAAATTTCCAGAAATTTTGAAGACAAGGAAAAAACATGGGTTTTGTTTGGGGAAAAATTGAAATTTGGGAGAAAATTGAAATACATGCAATACTTGTCCTATCAAACCTAAACTAATTTTACTGTTTTAAGAACATAAAATGTATCATTTATAACTTACTTAGCATATAAGATTGCAATTTTTGAAATATTTATGCAGTATAAAAGTTACAAATGCCTTTGTTTTCTACAATCAAAATTGGAAAGATATCCAATACCTAAGAGAAAACCACAATGCTGCCTTAGACCATATGCCTTAATTTTTGCTATCTGAAGAGCAGAAAAAATAGGAGTTAAAAACACAAGCTTTGTGTTAAATAACATTAAATCTATTATTTGGTCAGAAATGAGGGCAATACAAAGTATCAGTAATAATATCTGCACAGCTAGATACAGTTCCAGCTCTCTGACCAGTGGCTACTGGTTCGAGAGAGCTCAGTTCTCAATGAAACTTTCAGAGTTTTCCTTTGAGATTTTGGTGCAGTTTCTGCCCCACCTCCTTCTATTCTTTTCCCCCCACCAGCAAGGTAGGGCAGTAACCTACTCGATACCCACTCACATAGGTTTGTGGAGAGGTTAAAAGGTCAACCACAAGAGAAGAGTCAGGTCAAAAGGGCTACAGAAGCGATGAAAGACCTGCATGCTACCCTCATGAGGATAAGGTATCCTCCTAGGTCCAGAAATGTATCTTGTATTTAAGAGCTGTATATGTCTACAGCATGCCCACCTTGTCTTTAAAAGCATTCCACTCATTCTAAAAGACAAAATGTTTCATAGGAGTTTTTTTCAGTATTCCCCCAAATTTCCATTTTTTTCTGTAAGAAAACTGAAAAGGGGCCTAAGGAGAAAAAACAAATAAAGCGTTTTTTCTCTGAATTTTCTGCTCCCCCCCCCCCCGGGCCTTCACATCTCTAGGACTCCCTGGTTGTTCTTGAGATTACTTACTTGGCCATGTTGAAAGACTCACTGTGTGATGCTTTCCCCTTCAAATCCTGCATAATGATTAAGTCTGGTGATAACGCTGCATGTTATCATGTCCTTTAAACTGCTTGCTTTGCAGCATATTTCAAGACATGGCCAATTAGTGCTTTTTATCACATTTTCAGAGCAACCCTAAGCACATCTTTGCAGAATCCTACTCAAGTTTGTTCAATGGGGCAAGGACTGGGGGTATTTAATACTTTTCCTTCATTTTCCTTGTGAAATCACACATGTACTCCCTACCCTTTTATTTTTTAAGATCTGGAAAAGTCAGGCAATCAGTTACAGCTTTTCCAGCATATGTGTAGCTTGGCCCAGAAACAGCATTTTTGCATTCCATTCCAGGCTGCATCAACTGCCCAGTTGGGACTGAGCCGGTGCTAGGCTTTGAATACAAGTGGTGGAACATGTTGCCAGCTAACATGGAGACAACAGTCCTCAGTGGAATCAGTTTTGAATATAAAGGAATGGCAGGTATCTTCACGAGCATATTTCTTCCTAAGGCATTTGATTGGTTTGAACTGCTCCAGCTACATTCTATGTTCAGTATGCTTTTTATTCAGTTCTGCCTAAGCCGTGTGGCCATCCTAATCATGTACACTGTGAACAATTAGCCTGCGGGACTCACTGTTACCTTTTATTAGGAACAAGAATTTACGGCTGGCACGGTGGGTAGAATAACTTCTAATGCTACAAAACATGTGACTTAATATCATGATGTTGTGAATTTCCCTACCTGTACAAGCAACAGCCAATGAAGTGCATGAAGGGTACGAAAAAATCTGCATAGTTATCTCCTGGCAT